AAGTAGGACCGCCATGGGCTGCTAATTTCCAGTCACCTATTGATAGATGCTATAATTTAATAACTGATAGCTAAAACTCTACCGATCGCCTATAGTGTTTTTGGCCGCTTCGAAGTTCCACGGACCTTCACTAAGCAACAAGTATTCTTCTAAGAGCCGTTTGGTATCCGGTGTTTAATGATGTATCAAATCATTAATTAACAGAAATTATCAAGCGAACGCGTTGTTATGGCATTTGATCAGTGCTGGCTCGTCTCACTACAAAAACCATTCCTCAAGCATCTAATTACCCATCGGTTCAATATAAATGATAGTCTGTGCAACAATTAACTGTTTGCAGCTGCACTATAACTCATAAGAAAAGCTTGCCCACACGCGCGAGGGCAAATATTGAAAGGCTTTTAACAGCCGTATTTTACASACATTGTTATACATGTACATGCATGTATATGAATGTACATTAGAGCAGGATGGTTTACAGGAAGCCAAAAAAACGGAAAAATCGCGTATTCCGTATATATTCTACGTATTTTTCTAAACAACTTTTCCTGAGAGGGTATAGGTCTGCAACAGGTTTCGAGAAGGTGATTATTAAGTTGAAATTTAAAAAACATGAATAATCCGTTGTAGAGGATTTACTATGTGACATTGTTGTCTGATCTGGCCGATTTCGATAAATGATCAATCGAAATCAAAATGTCACTATGGACGAGGATAAAATCATGTGTACAAGTATACAAAAGTGAGGAAATTTCACTAATCGCCATTCACTTGAGCTGGACAGATTCGATACTTCTAAATATGGTTCAAGCAGTAAACTTTCGGTCTTAAATCAAGTATCCCCTGGGTAGCGAAGAAACATCCATTTGAAGGCGAGCTAAAGTGCGATGGCGAACCATCCCACGGTTGTGCGCTTGGTTTGCTACCCGCTACGTAAAAAGACAGTACCAATGAAAATAAGAAAACAGCCTCGGAWGAGAGACTCTCCTTTTGGGCTCCCTTAAAGGGCATGCACCTGGAATCCTCGGTCCCTTAATGAGAAGGTGCCGCTGTCCAGCTAGTTGATGTCTTCGTTAAAGTAAAGGCAGACATCACAGCCGTCAAAGAAATGGCATTTATTACAGTGGCCATATAGAGGAGAGCAAATTCGGAGCAAATTCAGCCTCAATAATGAAACATCCTCAAATGGATAGAGACTGATCGACTTCACCGAGGACCGACATATTTTTGTATGTAATACTTGATTCCAGCATAGAAAAATTCATCAAGTTACCTGGCTGTCTCCGGATCGAAAAACCAACAACCAAATCGATAATATTTTGATAGACGGAAGAACAGCTGGTACGATGAGGAGTGGTGTGTTGTAGTGAAGAAAAAACAGACTGCCTAACTCGCAACGTCACAACAACCATCGACCACAACACGTGCGGATGGGATAGAATCCCTAGAGTTGAAGAGGAAAGCGAACCGGCTTTGCAGACAAAAMAAGAGAGGCCAMAATGCGTGAGTATAAAGAGCTTGAAGAGCTGGCCGACGGGGGTAATRCTCGAAAATTCKAMGAAAATATGCGACARCTAACAGAGGGTTTCAAGACTAGAGCATACTCTTGTAGAACCCCCAGACTTTGTGACTAKTGTGACTTCTTGCAAAAAGTATACTAAAATGATGATATAAAGACTTCTCCAACCTGCTTAATGGCAGTGATAGTATAACACCAGCAGATGGTGAACCCGATTTCCCAATCGATGATGATGGAGCGGACATTCCATTGCTCGATTATGAAGAAGTTCGAATAGTGTCTGTAGAATAACAAAGCGACGGGGCCCAATGGATTGCCGCCCGAGTTATTCAAATGCGGCGGCGAAGAACTGATAAGGAGCATACATCAGCTTCTTTGTTTTTTGGGGTCYTGAAAACGTTGGCTCGAAACCGGTTTTAGACCAATCTCCAATTAAAAACTGTTCAGAATGATCGGTAAAACATTTTCCGCATACGCGATTTTTTCGTTATTTTGGCTACCTGTAAATAGACCCGCACTAAGATACTTATACATTATATATGTAGGTACGTTACATATATGCTGCTGATGTTAACATGAAAATGTGTTAATTCTACAATTAAATTTCAACGGAAGCAACAATGAGAGTAACAACACAGCACAACAACAACACAATAGCAGCAYAATAGTAACAACAAAACTGTTAATCTACTTGTGTACGAGTGTTGTTTACACTTCGGCGCCACAAAAGCAGATTTTTCCAACAACAACAACAGCAGACAATGAAACGTAACAAGAGCCGAAAAAACTCATCGTTTTACTGAAATTATTTGCTTCATAAATTTGTTAAATGGCTTTTTAAGAGTAATGCTTGCGAACAACAGAAAAGTAATAACAACAGCAATAGCTGCCGAATTACCAAGCGTACGCGCTGCACTGCTGCCAAACTTCCCCAGCAGTCGTCGAGTACGCGCACTTTTAATTGTCATAGATACACATTGGACAAGCGACACCGCCAACTTGGGCTGCGCGTGCGATTCCCGACAAAAACAAGTGAAATATAATTGAAAAACAAAAATACACAAAATTCAAAAACAATAAAAGGAACCAGATGCCAACGGCAKAATAGCAGAGTGCCCAGCAAATTGAAGTGTCCGGCAAAACTTTCAGTTCGCGCTCGAAAATTTGCGTGAAATTAAATGAAATATTTTGTGRCTTATTATAAATGAGACGAATTTCGGCAAAGCGCGTTAAAAAATACAACAACAATAAATAATAATTACCAAACAAAAAAGGGCATATTGACAGCAGCGTGGCTGGTGGCGTGTAAAAAACCGTAAATATTTTGTATACASACACATTTTCAATGTGACAACAGCAACATTGTTTGTGCAACATGTGGAAAAACTCTGTTTTAGTGTGTAAGTGTGCGTGTGTCGGTGCAATTATGTGTGACAGCGTCGTTTGAAGCGTTTGTGCAATTTCGCGCATGTATTGGTGGCATATTTTGTAAATTGTAAATTYTTTTTTCCGCTTTGTTCAAATAAAAATTTACGCTTGATTTGTGGCGCGTAATGTTGCATATCGAATGACTGGCATATTTTATGTTYGCTGCTTGTAGCTGCCGGGCATTTGGCGGAGAAATATTTTTTCCGAATATTTTTTTCGAATTTTTTTCTTTTTAAAGAGACTACCAATATGCTGAAGTGTGCAATAATTTTAAATTATATTTTCAAGCGCAAATATCTTCAGCTTTGAGTGTGAGCATTTCAAAATTTGTAGTGATTTCCATATACTTAATTGTTAACAGGCAACCGTTACCGTACTACACATATGCCAACGATTTTTCAGTCCTCGAAACACTTTTCATTTTAGCTCCATCAGCAAATTTGTTTTATGTCTTCGATCTGCTGAAGACGGGTTCCATGGAGCGGCAATTTCAGTTGCCAAAATTTCACACGAAGCCAAATCTGGTGAATACGGTGGTGGATACATGGCACTCATTGCGTTTTTGGCCTTTAATTCGGTGACAATCGTGGCTGKATGCGATGATGCATTATTATCGTTTTATATCCATGAATTATTCTTACACAATTCCAGCCATTTTCTATGGATGTTCTCATGCAAACGCCTCAATACGGGCAAATAGAACTCTTTGTTTACCGTTTGTCCCTCCGGAACAAATTCATGATGCACTAAGCCACGAATATCAC